TGGCCACCGTATTCGTGCACTTTATCGCATACATCACGAATTGATGACTCGAATACACCATGCGTCGAAGGGTAAGTGACCATAATAGCAGCCAGCTCGTTTTTGTACTTTTCTGCCTAAATGGTAAGTTACTTGTACCGAGCAGATCATGTGATAAATAAGTTTCAGAAGCAAAGGGGCTGATAGGTTCTCCTACAGGATAGTTCAAGCATTCAACTTCCATGCGGAATCAGTGAAATATTTGAATAAGCGTGGATGAAAAATTTCAAGGTGACGTCCCAGATGGATTTGAAGGTTTTAACGGTTCTCATTATTTGATAAAAAGTAATCTAGCGCTTGATTAGCTGAAGTCGATCGGAGGGTTAGCGGGAGTTGCGATCGCTCACAGAGCACGGTGATTTTTGGCCAGTTGTCTTGTGGCACGTCCTGTCTCACATCAGTTAATTGTCTTTAATAGTCGTCTCTTCTCTTGCCAGGTGACATATCGCTCAGAATTCCCAACAGTCATTCCAGTGGGTGTGAATCTTCGTAGTACGGTGGGGTGGCTTTTAAAAACTGCGCAACTACTATAATAGTAGTAACTATCGTGGAAAGTTGTCTCGGAAGGTCCACTGATATAGATTACGCTGTTCATACTTACCTTTGCGGCCAAATCTTTGTAATTGATATTTCCATGTTTGTCCGATTCCACTACAACCACTCTCATATTTGCCATGTGAGCTGAAGCTGGATTGGTACCGTGCGCCGATGTTGGAATAAGGCATACCTGAATTTTATCGTGTCATCTCGAGCTTATCTCTTTGGCTCGGCTCTTTCGAGTCAACTATCACTCATTAAGTGGTCAGCTAGTCCCTGTCAATTCAACCAACATTTCTTTGTTCTTGTCCATTACTGATGTGGTACTTCCTGATGGTAAGCAGACCAGCGTACTCTCCGTTAGCGCCAGAGTTAGGCTGTAGGCTGAAGACAATGGGTAATACATACTAGTTCCTAGTAAAAATTCAAGTCCATCATAGGAAATTTTTCTGAAAGTTACCTAAATTTGTCGTAGCCGGTGATTTCGCACAGCCATTTTTCCGTATCGCTGAAGATTTTCTGGAAACCAGCTGCCTGTGAAAGTGGTACGAAAGGATGAAGACCGTTAAACGTATCCCAAGTGATTGGCTGAAAAGAAGTGATCGAAAAGTAGTGCATTCAGATGTATCCTGAAAACATTTCCTCCAGAAGTTTTCATTTTTATTTTGATTGACCTAGAAATTAGATAAAGAATCGGGAAAACTAAAAAAAACTATCAAATTTTTGAAGGATTTACAGATATGAAAGTTAAAGTAGAAGTAGGTAGTTGACTGACAATCAATTGACAGCTGGCGTTTAGCTTCATAGTACAGGATCCTAGCGGAATCATGGAATGAGCAAGAGAGACGTCCTTATTCTCCAGTCGTTTGATATATCTGGAATGTGAAATTTTTCTTTGTCCAGTATTCCATTGGGTTGAATTACATTAGTTTCCTTCTCCTTTTTTACATCACATGGGCAGAGGTGGGAGAGCGTCATGTGGCGCCACATCACATACTTGGCCCAAGGATAGAAACCCGAATTTATACGAACAAGTTGAAAGAGAGGCGGAATCGCAAAAATGGGATTGGTCAACGACAGATGACCTGATGCTTCATATGTTAGGCTTTACAAATGTTTTGGATAGTCATTCAACTATTCCCTTAATTGCTCAGTTTCCTGAAACGGGTATGCACATCTGCTAGATCCAAGCACCAGCTAATTCTAAAACCTTTGGAGAGACCTTCCAATGAGCTGAAGGACTGTTCGTGCAAATCCTTATCATGTGTTTCTTTTTTTTCTGACTTCCTCAACTTCACATATTGTCAGTTGGTGGTTACCATATCGTTACTTATATGCTTTTATCCCTTTAGTCAGCTAGTTGGCAATAAATATGGTGCGTGAGCGTTTGGCATCAAAGTATGCTTCCTCCAATGTAAATACAGCTTACCGCACAAGTAGAGCTTCACTGTGGTATGTATTGAAAATTGGATGTTGAAGATAGGCGCTTGTCCTTGCATGTTCACTGTTACCAATAAGAGGAGATGCCGTTTCGGACACGGTATCGGCTACTTCCTTCTGAAAATACAGAACGGGACTGACTGGAAAACAGTCCTGGAACGTTTTCTCGAAATTGCATGTGCAAGCTAAAGTCGACGACATCAACATATATGAGTTTCAAAGATCTCCAAGGAAAACCTGACCTCCGACAGCTTACTACCTCCGTTGAAAACGTAGAGTATATCCAAGATATCAGCCGGTTTCGTGGTCTCATCCAGCGAAACACCAACGGAGCCGTCGGCGAAGTACCTGAATAACTCAGCTATGGGCAGGCATCGGCAAAAATATCTATGAGCTGCCTCTCACTGTGAGTAACCCCGAAAACTCCCAAGCCGGATCCGAAGTGGTCCATTCTAGCTTTCAAAAATTTTAAACTCATTTTTATCATTCATTCTTGCTTCCTTAATCATCCATTACTCTTAGTACTGCTCAAATTTTTCTGCATTTTATTTGAAACTCCATTCCCAGCGGATTACTACCGTACTCTGGGCGTGTGCCATTAAGTCAGAACGAGGCAAGGCACAAATTTGCTACGTGCGGCAAGCAGCACTCCTATGCTGGGGAACGTCACGACCGACCGAGCAAGCCATGACACATCTTGAATGAGTCATGCTAGACACCATGGAAATTTATTACTTGCGGCAGCCGAACCTAATGGCACACTTCCTACTTGACATTCCATTATGACTCATGAGGCTACATTGAGACCGTAAACCGCTACCACAGTACGAAAACTCACCGGAAGTTCATCTGTTTTTCTTCGGCTCGTTTCTTAAATGACTGCAAGTCTTTGACTGTAACTTTCAAGGTGTCAAAGTAGACCTTGTGGGCTATCGAATGACCGGCCTTGACCAGTTCTGAAAAGGTTCCATACTTATCAGAGTACTGATGGATGAAAATTAACATTCACTCAAGTGGGTGAGGTATGGCGGTACAATCAAAAGCCCGATTTGAAAGACACTCCCGAACGTCGGCTGTCGCCGAAAGCGACACTTCGATCACACCCCTCTTTCACTCTGTTAAAAACTCGTTCCTTTTGTGTCTCTTAGTCGAACTTTTGATGGTACCGCTGCATAATACTCAATGAAAAAGTTGTGGTGCTGTTGAATCGAAATGGTAGCTTCGCGGCGAAAGCGACGTCGCGCAAGATATAGGAACAAAAGAAGGAGCAGTAGAACCATACAAAAACAATAATCGCATATCGATCTAGCTGTATGAAGAACGCTAGAAGTGCAACGAGGCAACTAGTCCGCGACTGCCGCGTGCGGCAGATCGATTACACAAAACCGATTCAACTTCCCATCTCCCTTATTAGACTCAAAAGAGGGATGGGGTGAAATTAGCGCGTAATATAGAGTGAGGAACTCAAAGTGAACCCATTCAAAAAAAAAACAAGAACCTGATTGAAGGAAAGCTGTCGATTTGTGGATGGCTTGTGCGATTTCCGTGATTCGTTTAGGTCCATGGTAAACAGCATACATAGCGGCCATATTGGCAAGAAGAGCCTGGATTGTGATATCATAAGAAAGCGTACCGTAAGCTGTTGGAGTTACGGCGACTTACTTGAGCTGTACATATATTACTAGTAGCTTTATCTCGACGAATATGCTGTTCTCTTGTCTGTAAAGCTAATCGAAGTGCTTTTTCTCCATTTGCTCCTCTGAAATGAAATCATGAAATCACCTATGACTTCATTAGAACAATGATTCTCAAATTGTTGTGGAAAAATCTGTAAAAACCATTGAAGGTAGTCCACTAATCACTACTGGGTACAAAAAAAAGGTTAAGAAAATCAAGAGAGTTTTTGTGATTGATCCTAAACAGTGTCGGGAGAGCCGTTATAGTCAATCCTAGGTCAGTGAGTTGCGAGCCATTCCGTCAGCTTAGACATAAATCCTGATCTTCTGACGAAATCTTAGACCCAACCCCATCTGAACTGGTCGGTTGGTACCATCGCTACGGTAAGCGCCTAGGTTTTCAAACATTTTCGTGCTCTAGGGGCCTCGAACTTTAGTGGGGCAGAGAAGACGTTTGATCGAATAGCCACGAATTATCAGTGATGCTTTCAGGCTCTGAAGAAGGCGATCCCGCTGGAACGTAAGCCTAAAGAAGCTCAGAGTCGATANAGCTCGGGAAGACTTCAAGAAAACAAATAGCCTTCTCAATGTCCACAAATTGGTCTATTTTCATCCATTTAACTAACTTTTCGGAACTTGTCTCTTAAGCTGTTTTGAGACTTTCCGAGACTTACAACTTTATCCAGCTTAGTCCTCTTCGCCTTCTTCAGAGCCCGAAAGCCGATAAACGAATTGAGATTGATCCTCACGTAGGCCTAGACAATACTTAAAACAGTCCTCTAACTTTTCGGGGAGGTAGTGCTTGGATAACTTTATCGACTCAACACATTCTTGCTACAAAAGCTCCCGATATCGTGGCAGGATCAACTAGAAAAAATCCAAAATCACTCTCGAAAGTCAATTGAAGGTTGCAAGAGAGCTATTTTTAAACGATCTAATAATAGTGAAGTTTGCTTTGAATTAATAAATTTGACAGTAGAAGATGAAGGAGAGGACATGTGATAGGGCACGGTGTGAGGTAACCGTTCAACCATTATTCCACTCACTTGGATACACCAATGATTCGTCCTGGCATCATCCTCCCGAGTGAGTTTTTCGAATCTCGTGCCACAGCCATGAAACCTGGATGAGGCCCACCATAACCGAGAGGAACACCGAACCTGTAACAGAATCGACTCTTAGTCAACACGTCACATCTACTCTGACTCTGAACTTTACTTCAACTCCGAGATGGACTCAGACCTTGGACACTGATACAAATAATCGAAAGACTCACCTCTGCGCAGATCCGACAGCTACATCAGCACCGAGGTCTCCTGGCGACTTCAGAAGCGTCAACGACATCACATCGCAAACCAATACCACCAGTGCCTAAATTGAACTCGAAACCGATCTGACCATCTAAAATGTGATGAAAACATAGAATGGATCAGAAAGTGAAAGTTTTCTGCCAATTTTCAAAAGAAAAGAAAATTATTATGACGAAGAGTACGGTAGCTGCAGTAACTGCAGTATATCGCTGAAACTGAGCTTCACTACATTCATTCGGCAAATTTCTAAAAAATTGGAGTGAAATTTCATCAGAGACAATTAAAATAATATCAATTAGTTTAGGTAGACGAAAATACTTTACATACTCCTTGTTCGTGTGCCTTGGCAATCAGCTTTTCGATGTTCCGAATCCGTCCTTCTGTGTCAGGGTATTGAATGATCACGGCTGCAACATCTTTGCTCACATTGAAATTGTCGAAATTCAACTCCGACAACTCAATTCCATGAGGTCTAAACACTACTAGTTTAACTAGTTTTTTGCAAGGTCGTTTACAAATTCAATTCCGAGCTCAAAATCCTGAAGTCGATCGACAGGCAATGTTTTCAAATAGTCTCACGAACCTGCTGCGCGTCTTTGCCACATCGAGATTTTGCGGATGAAGGTAGGGATCAACCAGCACCTAAAAATCAAAAGCCTCTCAGAGAAAGTGTACAGTCAGTGCCCTGAGCCTGGACCATTCTAAAGGCGCCTACACGTTCCCTAAAGGGTCAATGGCTTCTTCCCCGAAAACCTACCTTATTTCTTTTCGTGAACCTAGCTGCCAAAGCAATTGCTTCGGCGACCGCCGTTGATTCATCCAAGAGAGAGGCATTAGTCGTCGGGAGACCAGTCAAATCGGCTATCTGATCACAAGGTTTGACAGAGTCTCAGATTCATGCGCGAACCAAGTGCACCTACCATGGTCTGATAGTTAAGCAGGGATTCTAGACGTCCTTGAGAAATTTCCGCTTGGTAAGGAGTATACTGCGAAATCCTAAAAATTGGAAATACAACAAACCTTAGATTTTCTGTTAATCGGGTACTTTGGGTCAGGAGGACATTCGCGGTTCAGTAATTCAATGGGTCGCAGTGAAACGGCAATAAAAGAAACCGCGACGCGACCGCTCGCGTCTCCGCTAGGTGACCACCATCGAGATTGTTCTTAACCAAAAATCAGAATTTGTCACCAAACATCGCAGACTTCTTTAACGACGGAAATGGCACTATCGTGCTAAACGAACTGGCAAAAAAGTTTGAGATAGGCAGAAAAGGGTTCAACGTGCTTACCATCCAATGTTTTGAGTGATATTTCGAAGGATAACGGCTGGTACAATTGTATCGTAGTAGCCCATTCCAATATAGGAACGATATACCTGCAGATTTCGATACGAGTTATTTTATTGTTACACTGTAAGTGATCATTTCACAACTAACCTTATTCATTTCTGCGATTTTCTTGAGTTCACGTAGCATACTGTATTCGTCCACAGCTTCAGGTAAATCTGAAAAAAAGCCATACAAAGGGTTTACGAATGATCACTGGAGCCTAACGCTTCCAAGGCCTAACCATAGAGATATTTATGAATATCGAGAAGTTTTGTCCCTAACGCACGGAAACGATATGAATTCTGGTTTCAAAGTTCACACTCTGAGGTTCATATACATATCATTCAGATGCCATTTGCCATCTGCCAAGGTGTTCACCAGAAAC